GCGGGTCTCGAACCCGCAGGCTCAGGCAATCCACTCACCTCAGCCTCCCAAAGGCGCGGGATTACAGGCTGAGCCACCGAGCCCGGCTTGTTTGTGGGTTTTTTTTTTGGTTTTTTTTTTTTTTGAGTTGGAGTCTCACTCCGTTGCCCAGGCTGGAGTGCCATGCTGCACTCACAGTCACCCCAGTGTCAATCTGCTGGGCTCTGGCGATCCTTCCGCCTCAGCCTTCCAAGTAACCAGAACTTCAGGCACACGCTACCATGCCCAGCTAATTTTTTATTTTTTTATTTTTTTTTAGAGTTGGAGTTTCACTCTGTCACCCAGACTGGAGTGCAGTGGCCGCTCCCGGCCACCGCAGCCTCGACCTGCTGGGCTCCGGCGATCCTTCCGCCTCAGCCTCCAAGTGGCTGGAACTACAGGTGCACGCTACCATGCCCGGCTAATTTTTTTGATTTATTATAGAGATGAGGTCTCGCCAAGTTGCCCAGGCTGGTCTTGAACCCGCGGACTCAGGCAATCCACTTGCCTTGGCCTAAAATATGGGATTGCAGGCTGACCAAGCCAGCCACTTTCCTGTTTTTATGAATGACGTCACCTTCTTCACTATCACTGAATGTGAAGCCCAGTGGCTTCTTGGCCACACCCCGCCCACACAGTCTGGCCTGAGGTTTTTGGGACTGCCACAGCTCTCAGCAGGCTCCTCCAGCTTGACTTTCAACTGCAGCCTCCAGACTAGCCTCCCTGCCTCCAGCTGTGACCTCTTTTTTTTTTTGAGTTGGAGTCTCACTCAGTCGCCCAGACTGTAGTGCAGTGGCCGCTCCCGGCCACCGCAGCCTCCACCTGCTGGGCTCTGGCGAACCTTCCACCTCAGACTTCCAAGTAGCTGGAACTACAGGCGCCCGTTACCACGCCCGGCTAATTTTTGATTTATTGTAGAGACGAGGTCTCACCAAGTTGCCCAGGCGGGTCTCGAACCCATGGACTCAGGCAATCCACTCACCTCGGCCTCCCAAAGCGCTGGGATTACAGGCTGGGCTACTGAGCCCAGCCCATGACCTGACTTCTAAGCCCAGCCTTTTGCCACCTGGTCCCCTGTTCTCACCTGGCTCCTGCACAGGCACAGACCGAGCTCTGAGCCCCCAGAGGCTGGGTTCAGCCCTGGCCAGGTATCTCCATATGCCCCTAGGTCCCGGCTCTTGGTCCAGATCAGCGCCTGGCCCACCACTAGCACTCAATAAATACTTGTGGAGAGTGGCTCTTTGGGGAGGACTCCGTTTGTCCAGCTGCACCACCCATCATGGGTCCAAAGGCCACACTATCCCCGCCTGCCAGATGGCCCTGGAGACAGGTAGGGGCCCCAGATCCTGGCCTGGTGTAGAACA